TTGCATTGTCAGCTTTCACAGCTCAAGTGATATTAACAGAGTAGCCCAAAGTCAAACACAACATCTATAATCATTCGAGACCTGAATTTGAGTCTAAATATGCAGAGCTATACGTAGCTAGATGCAGCTAAGAATTGGATGCTAGTTTACGTGAGTTTGAAAGCAGTCCTAATTTGCAGATTGATTTAATACACCTGTATAACAGGAATAAGGATAAGCTAGTCCTAAGTAAAGAACACACTGGGGAAAAATATTTATTCCCCTAAATGAGATGAATTCCCACAATTTTAAGTAGAAACTTCTTATTCATCTAGAACCCTATTCCCCTCATCCTCTAGTCACTGTATACAGTTACTTTTTTTTTTTTCAACAATCAAGAGATCTGAAAAAATGCACCTTGTGCTTCTTAGATACTACAATTAATAGGCAATACGTTTGAGAGGGGATTAAGGAATAGGGAAAAGGAAAACAAACCCTACCTACCTACACTGGCACATTCTCCAATACAGCTCATTTTCAGTCAAGAGAGATTAACTGAGAGCCCTTCCTGGCTTCCATGATAAATGGAAAAAAAAGGACCCATTGGCACTTTTAGGAAGATCACTAGGGTGTCTTGGACAAAGTTTCTTATAGTCAGTAAGACAGATGCTAATACTAAGTTTGCATCTAAAGGCATACTGTTTGCTTTAGTTTCTACATCATAGGTTACTAAGTTTATTACTTAGTGAGGTATGTCAGAAGAACACACACACACACAAATTTATTCCATTCCAAAGGCCATGGTAACTTTCACCAAATGGCATCTATGCTATAGGTTTCAAGCAATGAGTTTTGCAACAAACCTGCAGAGTCACATCAACACTAGTCTTGGCAAACTTAAGTGGACTGGCACTTTTAGCATGCAATAAAATAGAAGCATGCACATGTGCAACACCTCACAAAACTTGAAAGAGATGTTTGCTCCAAAGCTGGCCTTTCTGAGAGAAAAATGGAAGGCATTTATGACTACCCAATGAGCACCACTAAGGCAACATGGATCAGCAGCAGAGCTAAAGGGATCTGCTTTTGTAGTCTACACCAACACTGAACAGAAATACAAAAAAAAAAAAAAAAAAAAAAAAAATGGAGATTCTGGATTAGCCAGAATATAAATGTGTCCTCAATTAGAACTTACCATTATCACTTGGTTCATCGACTTCTTCCTCTGAGGAATTCAGGATCTGTTTGTTGGATGGAATGGAGGTTGGGCCTCTTCTAGCTACCCAGAATCCTGCAGGAGCAGGAACTATTGGGGCAGGGCCACCTTGACTCTGGGATTGGGATAGGGGTGGGGAGGGAGATAAAACTGCTGTTAGAACAAAGTGAACTCGCCATGGGGCAGGCTCTCTCACCCTTCTGAAATCAGATTTGGCAAAACAATTTTGGTGTAAACACTACCTATTACATATATAATGACCATATTGGTACTTGTGCTCCCTCCATGTTTTATTTACCCAATGCCTTTCATAATAAACAAACCAACTTTTCCTTCTGTCTGTATACAATGCCTAGCATAGTGACGTTGCTCCCTAATTAGGCCTCCAGGCTTGATGATAATACAAACTGTTTCACTCTCACCTCAGAGCTATATTAGATTAATATAAGCTGGAATCTCACCACAGAATTAAACTCAGCAGCTTCTAAGGGTTAGTGGGTTGTTTTTTAACATCAAAACAATTTGCTACTTGACAGTACGCATAAATGCAGGTGTTGATGCAACCAGTGAGTGACAAGACTTTCTGCACAAAGTTATGTAAGAGTTGAATCTTGACTCTCCCTTCATAGCTTTCATATTTAGTTAACTGAGACTCCAACTAGAACATGGCCAACAAGAGGAGGGTTCCTTTTCACTACTTTCAAAACTACATGAAGTCTGAAAAGCATATTTCAGGAAATTTGAGCTGTGTGTTTAACACCCCATCTCAATATTGCACATTTGTTCAGGATTTCTTTTTTATTTTGGCAAACACTTCTTTCTACATTAACTTCTAGCTCATGACTTACTGGCAAAGCAGGAAAAGCAGCCTCATCTCCTTCTTCAATTTCATAGAAAGTTATGGTTTCTTCCAAACCCTGAGGCTCCTCCCCAGTCTCTGGTACAAATCCATACTGACATTCCTTATTTACACACTGCATCTGCCGGCGACTACGGCTATATGAACTTTAGAGAAAAAAATCAAGACACACACGTGAGGGTTTAAGCATATTTTCATTGTTTGAATTACACTGCTTTTGGAAATGCCCTTACATTTGTTTGAACAAGTGCAATTTACCCATTGTTTAGTATCATGACATTTTAAAAGTTTTTTTTCCTCTGACATTTTGTAAAGAAATTTGTATTTGCTTACCGGGACCTGTAGGAGAAATTGTCATAGCTCTGATAACATCTCTTCCCTGGACCAGGGTAGAATGCTATTTGAGGGCCAACCATGTTGTTCCTGTTTATAAATCGGGCAGATCCCCTAAATTTAAAGGGTACAAGGTCCAGTTACCAAGAATTGCCTACAGAGTCTCAGATGAAACTCACCTGTAGCATCATCTATTAGATACCTGAAGATTTGCTCAGGCTAAAAGTGTAGGAGACCTAACAGAAAAATATGGGCTGTCCCTAGCACTTTTGGGGTGTGTCTACATAGCAGGGCTTAACTTGAAATAAGCTATGCAAATTGAGCTACATCAATGGCATAGCTTATTTCAAAATTGGGAAAGTCTACACAGCACTTATTTCGAAATAGAGCATTCTTCCCCTGACTTCCCTCACTCCTCGTACAATGAGGGTTACAGGCATCGGAGTAAGAAGTCCTCCGGCTTGACACCATTTCAAAATAACTGCCTGCTGTGTAGACACGGACCAAGTTATTTCAAAATAACCGTCGTTCGTTCAAAATAACATTGCTGCGTAAACATACCCTTGGTGCCCTACAAAGACCTGAGCTCTACACAGACCAGTGCACACAAGGACTGAGGGACAGGAGCAGACAGCCAGGCGGCAGTAGGGGTGCCCCCCTACCACACTCACTAGAGGCAGTAGGAAGCAGAGTGACTCAGCTCCAGCCCACTCTCCTCCCCCACCTCCCAGCCACATCACTAGAGGAAGTGGTGGGAAGAGAGTGACGTGGCTGGGAGCCAAGGCAGCAGAGTGGGCTGAGGCCAGGTTAACTGGCTTCCCTGCAACACTGGTGAGTGCAAGGTCAACTTGACCTCTATTGCTGGTGTCAGATTCCTGCTAATCCCCTGCCCTGTGTCATGCCAGGGACTGGATTTGGGGGAAGGCGTGAGAGGGGGGCAAGTCAAAACAGGAGCAGGAAGAGGTGGGGCTTAGAGAAAGGGTGGGGGGACAGAACAGGGGCATGGTGGGAGCGGAGCAAGGGGTCATCCTGGCCTCAGACCCACCTAGGGACATCCCTGCTCGGGTGAAGCCCACAGGGGGAGCCAGCCAGGGAATAGGGCTGGCTGTCAATGCCACATATGCAGCACACATCTGCCTAGGGCACTAGAAAATGTTGGGCAATTTAATCTCAAATTTTGAGGTGCCCTATGCAGCCGTGTATTTTGTGATTGGGTAGGGGCAGCCTTGCAGAGAATGAATACTGGCCTTTATTACGGTTCCAAGGTTTCGTACCTGGGCATTCCATATCCCCTGCCATGCCTCTGAGGAGAATTCTGAGGACGATAGTGGTCATAAGATGCCATATTCCCACCACTTTGGGAGCAATTAATTGGAGAAGATCGACCTGAAGGAACATTGTGCTGTAGTCGAGGTGGAAGCACTGGTTGACCCCTAGAATAAGCTACTGTCATATAAACTTCCTTCCCACGAACTTTCTTAAACAGTCTCTTCCGTGACTTCATATCCATTTCTGTAATTTCAATTAAACAAAAAGGAAAAAAATAATCAGAGGTCCGAGCGGAAAAGACGTTAGATCAGTTAAACATCTGAATGGGTCTACATGACTGCCTTAAAGGGAGAAAAACTCCACAGGCACATTAAGATTAGAAAGTGGTCCTGGACAGTTTCAAAAGTTAATATTTGGATAAAGAGAGTGTGGGGGGAAAGTCCTCCATGCAGAAAAGTGCAACCAAATGCATGAACTTATTAAAATCTAATTTAAGCCTTTAGAGGTAGAGGAGCACAACATTTAGCAAGCTTTGTATGTGCAGCATGATCTCCTAGTTTTGGCTAGGCAAATGGAGTACTCGCATCATTCAAACCCTTTCTGAAGGCCTTTCTTTGTGATTCCTTTAGGGAACTCAAAATTACAAACCCTTTACAGAATCATCAGGAGGCACACAAGCCTAAACTGCTCTATAGAGCTGCACTGCTGTAGCCCTACTCCTTCCTCACTTCATTTCCCCTCTACTGTTGCCATGGTTCTTTTAACCAATTAGATAATTTCTTTGGTGCCAGTGCCTTGCCATTTCAACTTTGTTCTGTGAAGTGTTTTACAGCCTCTTGCAAGATTTAAACGCCAACTTTAAACACAAATATCAAATTAGTTGAGAACGTGTAAGTGCCCCCGCAAGATACCCATCAGAACTTCACACTTCAACTACCTCTATTCATCACCTCTCCAAAGAACAGTTTGCCTCAATCATTGTCCCTTAAAATGAGTTTTATGTTACAAATTGAATTCAATCATATCCATTATTTGAAGATTGCTGCTGCTGCAAAGATCCTTCATTCCCGTTAAAGTCAGATTTTTTTTAAAAAGGGAAAGATTCTTACTGAAGCAATGTACAAACCTATTTCTGAAACATAGCCACCCGTTATTTTCTGATAGTTTCCTCCTTTTCGACTGGGAGCTACGTTCCATGCAGGCACAGGTGTCACTTGCGTCACTGGCTTCAAGTTTGCCAATGGAACAATATGCCTATATAAAAAATGCTAGTGTAAGTAGTGTCACAGGAAAATCAATGCCATGAGACAAAAATGATTGCAATACTGCCATCAAGTGTGAGCAGATCTTACCAAAGCTTTCTTTAAATAGGAAGCATGCAAAAAAAGGTTTAGAATTGCATGTACATCTGAGCTAGCTAAACCCAAGGGACAATTTAAATATAACCTTTTATCATTCCAATCCATTTGCATAATAATTCTACTTTAAGATTTCCCAGAGATAGGTGAGGGTGAAATAATAAAAAAGAGACTCCTCTATTATAGGCATGTAACTTGCATAGGTGGTAACTTCATCCTTTAGACACAGACCCAGGGCCAGAGGGAGAATCATCCCCACAACAGCACTAGTAACATGTTGTTATAAAATTTCTGCATTAGTCCATGTTTTTCTTTCCTTTCCTTTCAAAAAAAATGTGGATCCCAAAGTTGCCTTGCTTTTCAAAAGCCAGCTAGCTCTTCTCATGATTGTTTTTAAATTATCTTTAATCCAGTCTAACTCTCACTCAAGGGCACACAGCACCAGAGTTGTATTTTATTTTACTGATAACAATGCAGACAGGTTACCAGAGGTAAATTTGAGACGCACCAACAAGTGACATTTTTGTTAGACATGGAAGACAGATGACATTTTATGGCATTCACAAATTCCCAAAATTAAGGGGGAGAGGCAAGGAGAGAAGCTGAACTAGAGTGGTCAGAACAGACTTAAAGGATTAAAAGCCCATTATTTAGCTGTGATGCAAGTCCCACTCCTGAGAATTTCTAGAAGTCAGTTGCACAGACTTATTGTTCACCATGAGCTCTGCCAAACCAGCTGGAAACTGTCCTGCTTTCTATCCACATGGTAATTAGATTTCACCTGGAATGTCTTCAATGAAAGCCCAAGAACTATTACTCCTGCCATCTGCTACTGGTGGAATGGTAGCTATTGTGAAGATGTTGAACTGCTAAAAAACTGGGTCTGATTCTTACTTTATATTCTGAAGAGAAACCGAACCCAGAACGTTTGGTATTGGCCACTGTTGGAAGACACGATACCATTGGTCTGACCCAGTATGGCCATTCTTATGGTCTTATGAACTTTTAAAGAGATAGGTGTATACACAGACTCAACAGAAAGGACCGTTTCAGTAAATAAGAGATGCGGCTCTAAGGCTGTCTCCAGATTGCTTACTTTTCTGCCAGCTCTTCAATGAACACAGTCACCATGTTGCCATCATGTCCAACTTCCTGGATATGAGCATTGTAGTACTTACCCCCAGGCTCCAGACGTACCTGAGGATGAAATAAAATGGGAGTAGGTAAAGCCAAATGGTGACATGTTAATGATACTCTGGTTCCCCTGCATCCCCAAATGGCTGATATCATTGGAGCTGTTTGCATGCTGCTCACATGCCAGTGAGTTTGCTTGAGAGTTTTGGAATACCTCAGTCCAGCACTCCCTACCCTACCCATCATACAGACAGTATGAGAGTGGACAGCATAGGGGGAGAGACTGCAGGAACTGATACAAACACCTCAAGAAAAAGAATAAGGGATGACTACATAGATGGAAGAAAGGCAGGGTGGAAACCAAAACTTGTCTGAACAATTAAAGAACTAAACTAAACAGGATCACAGAGTAAAAAACGTATTGTCCATCTCCATTCTGCTGTGGTTCGTATACACTGCCAGAAAGCGTGGAGTCTGTATTTCAAGAGTTCAGTCTTAAACTCCCATACTTTCAGGATTTACAGGACTGGTTCATGATCAGCTTCCAAACAGCCTTTCCCATGTACTATCTTGTGCTACTTTTGGATTTACAGAATATTTAAAAATTTCAGATGAGTCCATCATATTTAATAGAAATAATGAAAGAAGAAAACTTCTGAAGACTAAGTTCTGCAAGTTTTATGATTTAATAGGCTCTATTTAAAGCAACTTTAATAATTCATCGTCACTGAATCTGCTTCAAGTACTAACCTGACACTTGTCTCCTAAATAGTACTGTCTCCCAGCAAACACCATGTAATCAGTTTTTTGAAGCTCTACAAGAGATCAAAGTGAAAGTTTAAGCTAGGTACTGTTATGTTCTTCATTTTTACCTATTTATTCACCCTATGACTTAGAATTGCACTCGAGGGAATTATAGGTGGAAACGAGTGAATTATTGGCTGTATTTTCTTGGACATCTATGATGCGAGCACTCTGAACTACCAAATGAGAAAAGTGACCTCTTCTCTAGCCATCCAGGGACTTGACCACTAGGGAAAACTTGTACTTTCCCCACAACTTGGAATGCCACAGAGTAATTCCTCCCATGTAACTGACAGCAGCTGGGCTTTAGAGGAAGATAGTATGGGATGCACAGTGTCACATGCCAAAATCTCAAGACACATATGCCATAACAGGATCACTTTGCTCATCATTGAAATCCAGTCCTTTCTGAGACCAGTGAAGCAATAGTACATGGAAATTGAGTCAAATGAAAAATGTCCCTTTCTTCTGAGTCAGCATACCACTTTTTGTGGTATGCAAGGTTTGCATAGCTACAGATCGCAGTGAAAAGCAGGCTGTATTCACACTGTATTACCTTCCTACGCATGTTAGTAAAAGGCACTGGAAATAGTTCCCTGCTGCCAAGCTTCTCTCCACTACCTCCTTCCTGCCAGAGCCTTTCCCCACTGAGAGGAAAAGCTCCAATAAGCCTTGCAGGAGAGAAAGGCTCTGGAACCTTTTCCAACTTCTGAAGCATATCCTTGCAGTGTGGAAAGACTCCAGCAGTTTGGGGAGTGGGGGGAAGGAGGCAGCGGTGGGATAGTACACTGCTACAAATAACATTGTAGACGGAGGAAGTGTTGCTTGTGCAAGCGGAGCTCATTTGTAAGTAAGGATGTACTTGGGTAATTGTGATCTACTTAAATCTTCCTGACAGGGAAATTCTGAAAATTTACTCTGCCTTTATCATCCCCCAACATTCCACATAGCTCTGTTACGCCCCAGGAATTGGCCGGTGTGAAATCCCAGAAAGGGCTGAATTTCAGTGGTGAGTGCAGTGAACTCACTTGCAAAGCACTTTTGGATTCTTTGGCAAAGAGAAGAGAAGATGTGGAGGGAGAGAGTAACATTTCCCTAGCATTCAAGGCCCTGGGGAGTGGAGGAGAGAGGGAAGGGACCACTGATCCCATCAGGCACTTAAGGATGCTCACTAAGTACGTACATGGGAGGCAGTAACTATCACTCTGAACCCAAATGCATTCATGGTACACACAAGCCTTTGTGCAGACATTGCGATCATAATGGAAAAAATAAAAAAACCCATTTTACATTAGAATACTATTTTCAGATAGCTTTTAAAGATGATACTCTGCTATTGAACTTAGCTCTAGTGTGCCATCACATTTTCGGTTTGAGAACCAGTATCTTTTTCTCAACAGATTAGATTTAAGGAGCATGATGGACATCATGCAAGATTGGAAGTACTCTACTGGTTGCTTAGGAGGTGAAATCAAGTAACAGGATGTATGCTCCACAGGTACTTTTGCTGGGTTAGACAATGCTTTTAACATTTTAGGTGTGTGTCCATCTACTCAAGCCGCTTTGCCAATCCAACGTGTTTGTCAGTCAGTCTATAAATAGACTCATTAAGCCCCAGTAACTTTTACTTTTAGCCAGGAATTTACTGAATATACAAAGGGTTTTTTTTTAGGATGGGGGTACCTTTTCTGCTGTCCAACCAAACATCAAATTCTACATTGCGATAGATCTCAGGGTCCAATGCTTTTAGCACTTTATAGGGAAAAGGCATCTTTGATGGATTTTCAGGAGGCTAAAACAGAGTTAAAACGGACTACACTTAAAAGCGTACCATATATTCACAACCCCTTCCCTTTCCTTGCAAGAGGTTCTAACTATTTTCAGTAAACATACACACTGTCCTCCCTGCCTCTTTCAGTCCCACTATAACACGTAAGCAGTTTGCTGCGAGTACAGAATCTAAGAAGATGAACAAGCATGCAAGTATTATGGATGGATGCTTGAGGACAAAGCAGACTAATAAAAAGCATGTAGAAGAGGTTAACCACAGACTCCTTGATTCCAGGACAGAAAGTTTTTGGTGACTGTGTAAATAGGAAAGGAGATAAGGCTTCCTTTCAGAAGCTACAGACCACACAACTCCAGATCAACATCAGTGAGTACTGCAGGTTCTCATCATTGCTGAAGTTTATATAATTGAGAAAAAAAATGTTCCTAGAGTGTTAGCTACAGCAATGTTTTGAGCAAGGCCTGGTAAAACAGAATAAAAAGCACTGTTCATGTGCCTAAAATAAAATTAGATTAAACAAGTCAGATGGTTTCTACTTAAGAGCCCGGATCAGGGATTGATTGCCAAATTTTGTTTAACAAAAAAACAAAACAAAACAAAAACAAAAAACCACCACACCACACACAAAAAACTCCAAACATTTATTTTAAAAAAAAAAACTAGCTAGAGAATGAGGGAGTCTCAGAAATAAGCTTTAGATGATAAAAGGCTCAACAATTAATTTAAAAAGAGAAAATACTAGGGCTGAACACTAAACATTCACATGTAAGATAGGAAATAAAGGTGTAAATCCCCAAGAATACAAAAGGTTGATTCAACCTTAACCACAGCATCATGACACTGTAATAGGAAAAAAAAATTAAAGGATTCTTCCTTAATTGCCAAACCTTTGCCTCTTCAGTGCCTTGTTTGAGCTTATCTTCATGTGAGTTGTCAGTATCATTGCGTTCCCAGTCTTCCACTCTAAGCAATTTAAAAATAGGATTACAAAATACAGACAGAAAGATTTCTGGCCAGAACTGAAATCAACAAGATGAAACTGGTTGAATGACCTATAAAAGAACCATGGTACCATCAACTGATAAGATGCTAAACAGAACCTTACACTATTATATTGTAGAATAGATATGAAATTGTGCACAGCAACACACTCCTACATGTGAAATCTTTTTCTGATTTTAAATAAAATGAGCTCTCCCAAATCCCCTTTGATTCAGGTTCTCCATGTAATAGCAGATAACATTTTACATTTAAAGAAGGGTTAGCCTGGGTCCATTCTGCAAATGTGAACACTCCATAATGCTCATGAGTTGAGACTTTTTTTTTTTTTTTAAAGAAACTCCTTCAGTTGTTCAAGTACTCCTTAACAAGCGAATCTAATTTTTAGAAGTGGTTAAGAACCGACAGTGCCAACAAGTTAATCTGGGTTCTTTCTGGCTTGCACTTCAAACACCATAAATAAAATCAAATGTGGTCTTCTCATTTATACAATCCCATTGGTTACTACCCCCACCACAGACAAAAGGGCTACACAATGGCACTTCAAATGAAGGAAGGGCTTGGCCCTGAACTCATTAACAAAATTATGTTCTAATCCAGCACCCCTTCTCATACCAGTGTTGTTGATGCCACACTAATAGAAATTAAAATAGTACAATAATTCCTCGCTAAAGAAGACCAATTACTCCGATTTCCTCAAGATTTGTTCAGTAAAAAGGTGCTGACAGGGCCAACTGACTATAGCTAGCGGGAGAGATTGCTGCTCAACTGCACAGCACTTCCCAATTCTAAAGGAAACACTCTGCTTTTTCCAGAGACTCTGGCTCAGTGTGAGGTCATTGGAAAATTGATCCAGATGTTCCACGTGCAGCTCAGAACAGCTCAGAACACATCTAGTAGGCTCACCCCTCCAACACCTTTTTGAAAGAGCTCAGTTACCATTCACAGGATATTTTGCTTTCAACTAGTACCTTCTTTCTGATGAAGTTTTGGACACTTTCTCGGGAAGACAATCAAAGTTTGCATCTTCACTTCCAACAGAAGCACTGTTTCTGTTCTTTTTGGCCCCACTTCGAAACATCTCAACTGCAGTTCTCAATTCCTCCTCATCCATGTCAAACACATCTTTATACAGGATCTCATACAATACAGCTAGGCAAACAAAGCACACAGAATCCAAAGGTTTTGATGTGGTGCCAGACAAAGAACACCTGGAGTCTGATTCGTGTGTAATGAAAGTCCATAATGAGCACACCATCTACACTATGGTCACCTATTACCCTAGAACTCCATTAAAAATGCTTAATGAGTTTTCTACTTTCTTCTCCCTTCAGTACCCTCTCCTCCCAATGGGGAACATTGCTGATAAGTACTTCAAATATACAATTTTTATGGAAAGAGTAAGAGAGTTAATTTACCCTGGCAAACAGCAGCATCTGCTTGAAATTGTTTTGTATACACAGAGTCATAATGGCCGTTGCTGGAACAACACAGCAAGATCTTTAAAAAGAAAAAAAGCGCACCTTTGAAGAAGGAATGAAAGAAAATACATTTGATGTTCTAGCAGGAGACTACACATCATTTACTTATTGTAAGGCCAGTGCTTTAACTGTCTTGCTCAAACAAATACAAAGTGTTAGAAACAGAATTGATCCCTATAAGAGAGTTTGTAGCAAGTGCAGAAGTAGGCAAAACTTATTACCCATTTGGACATTGTTTAATCATGCCATGAACTGTTAAAAGGTCAAATATGGAGATTTTCCCTGCAAGTCGGCTACTGTTTGAACAACTAATGGTCTAAAAGTTAAATGCTAATCACTCTAACATTTAGAATCCCTAAAGTGCATACTCTTAGGGAATGTCTACACTGTAACACTATTCCGAAATAACCTAGTCTACGTCTACACAGCAGGCCGTTATGTTGAAATAGTGTCAAAATACTGTCAAGCTGGAGGACTTTACTCCAAATCCTGTAACTCTCATTTTATGGGGAGTAAGGGAAGTCAGAGGAAAAGTGCTCTATTTTGAAATAAGTGCTGTGTAAATGCTCCCTATTTCAAAATAAGCTACGCAATTGACGTAGCTCAATTTGCGTAGCTTATTTTGAGTTAAGCCCTACAGTGTAGACACACCCTTACTGGCCCATTAGTATCAAACTAGAGAAAGATACATTTTATAAGAAAAAACTAAATATAGAACTTTCCGTATACCCTTTAATTGTGTCAAAATCTTAAGTGGGTTCACACTGTTTACTCCTTTACATAACAAAGCACAACTCAAAAAAATTCAAATATTCATTTCTTCAACATCGGAGGAGAACCCCTCCTCAAGAACCGCAAAATATTCTCTGCTCTCTTTTTTGGGGGGGGAGGGGGGAGATGGAGAAGAGTGCACTTTCTTTGCCCACATATTTGTCTCATCTTGTCACCTTCACTTTGCTCATTAGGAACTCACTTCAAATTCTAACTAATGAAGTTTAAAAAAATAGACGCAAAGAATTGTATGTAGGGACCAACACCCCCAAAAAAGCTGAAGTTGATCAAACGGGAAGATTCCTGGGCTGTAATATAACTCTGACAGCCAAAGGAAAGTAACCAAGCAAAAGGTTAGCTACTGAGCAATCAGAGTATTCAACTGTGAAATAACTCATTTGTGGAGCATTAGTCTTGTTGAAGTTAGCTGTAATTTCACTCAGGTTTAAGGATCCTGTCACTTCAGTTTTGCTTTTGTAACTGCAGTGAGGTCTCTATGCATTTTGCACACTTAAACAAAATCAAAGCTAAGAGTGGGAGGGTAGAAACTTGGTTGACATCATCTTACCTTATCTTCAAAGCCATTGTTTGTAGCATAGGTGGGTGGCTTTCCAGGGTACCGGTACAGAATAAAGTCTCGACTAAACAAGAAGAGGAAAAAACAAGAGAATCGAAAGAGCACACATTTAACGCAAGTGCTTGTTATGAAGATGTTTGAAGAGAACAGCTTGGCAAATCCACTTTTGGTTAGTAGAGAGAATTGGAACAGAATATTTTTCCTGACAAGTGAATGCAGACATAAAATTTAAGCAACAACTATATTCACAAAGTGGAACCTTCTATATGAAATAAGAAATATTTGGTAAAAACGACAATATCTGGTTTCAGACAATAAAAAGATGCATTAAGTCAGGTATTTTTGTTCAAAGACTGATAGTTTTGATGACCTTAAATGAAGTAGCCCTCAAAAGGATTAAAATCTCAGTATAAGATGCCATTACAACCTTCTGGGAGTCTAGTGGACTAGAACAGAATGCAGAATGTTTTAGTGTCTCTGCTACTATGCTCCTAAACTGTTCAGAAGTGGGAGTATTTTTCAACGAAGCAGACAGTGTCTGTACCACACACTCAAATGTCAATTGAAATTATATTTTAAATGCAGTGCAGTTCCAGGCTTACATAGCAAGCAGCTCTTCTCACTCTCAATTTTCAAGAACACCTCATAAAACAAGCACAAAGTTTTACTTGTGGCTTGGCAGTTATTTAATGCTGTCCATAAAAGTTGTTTCCACTGCACACAATCAGTAAGTCTCTAATTGTAAAGTTTTTTAAAGAATTTAATTATAAAAAAATGCCAAGTAGACATCACTAAAGACTGAAGTCCTCTGATAATTCACAAAGCTACTACTGCTTGGGTAGCATCAATGAAACCTCCAGTAATCAGAATTAATTCAGTTTCCACGGCCACCTTACCTAAGGAGCCAATTCAGTACATTTCAAGTTGTGGGATCCTCTCTACCTGTAATTGTTCTGTAGCCACTAATATATTTAAATTAAACACTGAATGGCAGTCACTCCTAACCAAAGCAAACATAAAAACTAGATGATAATGGTCTCTCTCAGCCTTTAAAATATAGATAGATTGATTTTATATATATATTCTGGGCCCCACAGCTAGCATCACAGCCCATTACAAAATTAGATTTTAATTTTAAACAAAAGAGGAATAGACTTACTTATAGATCAATGATAGAGCGCTTATTTCCAATTGGCCAGCACTTTCCTAGGAGTATAAACATATTTTGAGATCACGCTACAACGTACAAAAATAACTGTGTCAAATGTGTAGAGGAACTGACTGCTGAGCCTGCATTTTACTTCTGTAACAAACTCTATATTGACTCTCACTAGAGCATTATTAGAGCTAGCCAACATTTTTTGTGATTTAAGCATTTTTGACCAGCTGTAACTACTGGGTAAAATTCTTAGACCTCATCTTCAAAACTCTAAAAGGTTCAAGCCAAGTTCTTTAAAGGAGTACATCTGAGTATATCACCCTCTGAACTAACTGTTTCATGGAAAAGACAAGTCTGTGCCTCAATCCTTGAAAATTAGTGATAGTTCTATTAGCTAGACCTCTGGCAGTCTCAAATGTATTTTAAAATACTTCTTTGATAAACATGCTAATTTTGCTTTAGATATTCTTGCATCCTGCTCATATTCACAAGTTAGAAATGTTCAAAGAAACAATTTATAAGAAAGCAGGTTTTTCCCCCCAAATCTGGGGGAAAAAAAACAAAGTTTAATTAATATCTACTATGAATTATGCACCTAGTTTTGTAACAGCCTTTTAAAGGTCCAAGCTGGACCAAAGTTTGGTTCCCAATGCTTAAGTTACATGCTGTGGTTTGACAATGCCCCATTTTTTGTCCACAAGCAAGAACTAAGGCCCTGATCTTGCCATCAGATCCAAAGAGTCCTATTATACCCACACTGAAATCAACAATACTCCTGTGTGGGTGTGATGGCAGGACGGAGGTCCAAATGAGCAGGGAGAACAGAAATGTAACATTCAAACCCACATCTCGGCAAACTGCATGAGCTTTCTGGGCTCACTCTCAGGAATATGAATCTGGCTTTACCTTTGGATCTCCCAGCCGTTCCAGATATTTTTCAAATGATCCTTCCACATACTTAAAAAAAGATAATATTGAATTAGCAAACTGCAGATCATTTGTTACATCTGCTGAAAATATTAAGAGCCAGAATTTGCACTCTGAGCTTAAGAAAAATATTTTTTAAATACAGTTTTCCTCTAATTTGTATTACCTAGGAACCAAGCCCTGGATCAGGACTCCACTGTGTGAGGCAATGTACAAACAACAGATGGTCCCTGCCCCAAGGAGCTTACATTCTAAGCATAGACACAACAGATGGCTATACACAATTGGGGGAGGAAGAATACCAGAAAACAATGAGACCACATTGATCAGCATATAGGCAGTGGTCTTAGTCCAACAACCTTCGAGTTCATAAAACAAGTCACCTTCCTGATCATTAATGGATTTTCCTCTTTACCACATTTAGGAACAATTGCATATGTGTACTTAGTACAGGTGGTAACTTCTTGCTTGAAAGCTTTTTTATCTGTATGCACTAGATTTATGAGAACCCAAACAAACAATTGTAGCAGTGTTTCCTCAAACATATTAGGCATATGTGAATGTCTTATGTGAAACATTAGGTCTGGATGGTCCAGAATTCTTCCCTGCACACACAAATAACCATACATATGGTTTGGTTACACTTGAGTCTAATGTTTCATTCTCAAAATTATCCAGTTTTAACAATCTGTCCACTTGCTCACAATCAGGGTATTGCAGAAGTGACTTTTTCAAGCGTATTTGTTTTTAAAACTGCAGGATAACAATTTTAGCTATTATCAAATTTTGTATCTACTCCTCTAATTGAAATGGGATAGCTTAAAGGCATTATGTTGGAAAAGGTAAACACCCTAAAATATACATGTGCAATACAAGCATTGCTCACCCCAGCCCTTCCTCCTGAAGTCAATATACTAAATGCCATGTAGTTTATTGCAACTTTCTTTTATTGTTTGCGAAAGATCTTGATCACTCTGTATGGAAGCTAAAATTGCACAGCAGTAGTTGTGAATAGGAGGAACTTGTGCAAATGCCTGTTACCAAAAAGTCTCTTATCTTGCTATTACGCAGTATGTACTGAGCCAGCAGGGCGTCTCCCTCCACCCCAATGGTAGCTTCATTTAAGTGAGGTAAGGCCACAGTGAACCAAGCATTTGATGTGAAAGAATGTATTAAAAAATAGTTTGTTGCTTTCCAACATCCATTTTGTGGGGGGGGACCCGGGGGAGGGGGGGGCGCGAAGAAACACATAGAATTGCACCCTTAAGATACATGGAAAGCTATTTGCAAATTAAGAGTTCTAATAGCCATCCAGAATGCTTTTTCAAAACCAAGTTGTTTCAAAGTATTCACAAGACCTGCGTATACTGATTTAGTTTACCTGTTGCTGATAACCACTGATCCATCATGAGCAACAAAATATTTCCTAATATTCAGCAGTATTAGAACAAACTGAGGCTACATGTATAAAGACACTACAGTTGTTCACAGGGATTGAATTTGTGATCTTCTGAATGAAAGTGACAAATCTCTTCACCTACTCACAACCTGAACTGAAATGGTAAACAGCAGACTTTGGTTGTTGAAGTCATCCACCAAAAGTGTCCAGTGGCATGAACCATTGTGTAACAAATGCTTTTACAGGGCCCTGAAACAGCCCACTGTCCTTACAGATGCATGTTTTACATCAAAATATAGTTTCATACAAACACACAAGACATTTCAGTTGCACAAAGATAGCTTCAAATGTTTAGATGTAATGTATATTATGTTTTACAAATAAAAATGTTGCACCATATAAATATATTTCCAGAAAAATCTAAAGCTGACTAGAAACTAATGGACAGTATACAGAGTAAGGCAAATCAGCAAGCATGTTGCTTCAACTTTTCTTCTTACTTTAGTTTAAACCTATGCTTGGTCAAAACTTACAAGGTAAAAACAAAATAAAGTACAGTGGGCTGTAGATTTTCAGAGCATGGGTGTAGATAAATAAGTTTATGTATAAACACACCCTTATTTCCTAAGTTCACACATTAAAATACACAAATCTACTTACGGACTCAAAGTTACGTTGGTTTTCCCTCATAAATGAAACACAAGCCTTCCTGACTTCCATATGATGAATCTGACAAGAAAACAGCTAGAAAATAAAAGTGTTTAAAAGGTGTTGAAAGGAAGGGCTTGCAGCTAACCTTATTTACACTTTTCACTATGTCTCAGAGGGTTAGCCATGTTTGTCTATATCTGCAAAAACAATGAGAAGTACTGTGGCACTTTAGAGGATAACAAATTTATCAGGGCATAAGCTTTCACAAGCAAGGCCCACTTCATCTGATGAAAGCTTATACTCTAATAAAACTGTGAGTCTCTAATGTGCCACAGGACCTCCTCATTGACTTTACACTAAGGCTCTCTTAACATGTAGTTTACATTATAATAAATTAATGACACCTGTAAACATGTTACAGACCTGAACATTTATTATAGTTACAGGCCCACCATTAGGTGTTAGATAATTAGACCAGTTGGACTAATGTTCTATAGAAAAACAATTTAACCATTTAATACAACCCTTTATAAACTACCCATAAATGGAACCTCAATATATAGCACAATTTTTTTTTGATTGCACATCCGTGCCTTATGTTCATTTTTAAATGGAAGAATTTGAAGAGGCTAATGGGGGGGAAAAGATCAAGTAGGTAACCACTGGTAGTATTAGCCTGAACAAGAGCCTTTCATCCAACTTTTAGCTGGGATAAAAGGAATAGTGGACATGGGCCACAAATTAATTTGCAAAGCCAGAACTTGTGTATGAGACCAAACAAAATTAGAAACTTGTAGGAAGAGGAAGATTGAAGGGTCAGTGTTGGCTCAAAGCCAAAAACACAACTTTAGGAAATGATGCCTCACCTCAACCAACCCCCTTATCAAAAGAAATCAACCCCTCCCACTCAGAAGCCATCTGGTTCTTTTAGCAGAGAAAACTGGAGGAAGGGAGAGATGAGGTTCTCTCCCCAAACCAGGGACGGTCTTTAACCCCAGGTATTAGAGCTAAAATGTGGTTGGAGGCCAGGCCTATGAAGGAAACAAGCCCAGCCCTCAAGGGGCCTCGAGTGGCAGCCCCTAGAGCCCCACGGCTGGGGTGGGAAGGAAACTCCTGCTACCTGCTCTGAAATAGCCCGAAAGAGACAGGAGGCGTCCTTGGCGGTGAGTTTGCGGTACAGCCCCAGGCTGGCCAGATACTCATCCATGGTGACCTCGCTGAGGGATTTCTGGCCGAAGTATTTCTTCCAGCCCTTCTGCATCTTCCGACCTGAGGCGGGGTGGGTGGGTGGGTAACTCCTCCTTCTGCGAGGCAAGAGCCCCCGGGTCCAGCCTGAGAACTAGGCGCAAGCACCAGGCTGGTGGGAGGACGGCTGCATTGTGGCCCTAGGGGCTTTGGAGCCGTGGGGCTGGAGGAGGGGCTCGCTAGGGAGGCGGCGGTGGGGCGGGGATGCGCTGAGTGGGGAGGGGGAGCGCGGCGCGGAGCGCAGTGGCCCCCTGGGCGCACGGGGCAGCGCGTGGCGTCGCTTGCTGGGAGCCCAGCTGCAGCCAATCCGGCTGGGCAGTGATGAGCCCATGCTGCTGCACCCGTTCGGTGGGCCGGGGGACCAGCCCTGCCTCATATAGCAAAGCTGGCCGGCTCGGGGTGCAACGAGGCTTAAAGCCCGATGGCGCTTTTCCTAGGGGGCCATGCGTAAAAGTTCCAAAGCTGGGCATCCAGCGTGGAGACAGCTCGCTTCTCCTTTCCACCCTGTCACTGGCAGCCTAAGGGCTGGCAAACAGTCACCCCCCAGGACAGGGTCAGAACACACGCATACACACATCGCTGTTGATTCTGGGCCTGCGATTCCTTGCAGCTCTTTCTACTCTAAAGGACTGGCGCTAGTGGTAACAAGCATGCTGTTCAGTTGGAGCATAAAAGTATGCTATACTTATAACAAGAGAATTTAGGGATGGTTCCCATATGTGGGCTAACTTGGCAGTTGTAAGGCACCAAACCATAATAAAATTGAGAAGTTAAAGATGGTCTTTCCTTGGAATTCCACTGTTAATTGCTCTGGTTTGTCTTTGGCAGCTTGAGCAGGTGCAAAAGCTCTTCTATTTCTTCTCAACAAAAGAGGTGCCTACTCACAGGCCTGGGGACAGTTAAGTTCTAATTAACCTGTGAGGCATCGGAGAGGAAAACATGAACATTTTACTAGACTCATTTAGATGTAGTGTAAGTTAGTATTTTGCATTTCATATTTATACCTGCCTCTGGAAATTTCCACTACATGCATCTGACGAAGTGGGTCTTTGCCCACTGAAAGCTTATGCTCCTACACTTTAGTTAGTCTATAAGGTGCCACAGGACTCCTCGCCTGTTTTGCATTGTCCATCTTGTTTGTATGTGTAAGCAATCCTGCAAACTGTTGAACTCAGTGGGACTGTTGCCATGTAAAATTACTCATATACAGGTCCAGGGGCAATGTGTGTAAGTTTTTTTTCCTGAAAATTGATCTTTTGACTAAAAGATCAATAAAATATTAACAATAGATGCTCTGTAAATCTACATCCCATTCCAAGAAGAGAAAATTTTCTTGTTAGGCTGAGATCATATTGATTTAGAGCTCTATTTTCTGATGTGCCTATATATAACTATAAATAAAACACAAATTAAGAGTTAGATCTGCAATCCCTACTCAGCCCAAATGGCCAGGTAGTTTCACTGGGTATTACGTGAGTCAGGCCTAAAGAGGTAAATATGAGTCAAGCAGTGTTTGCCCACTTAGGAAGTGAAAATCTTCTTGAGAAAAATTTTGGTGATTAGAAAAATTCATTGTTGTGCCATGGGGAGCAGATAAACTGGTTACCATAAAGTATTTGAATACAAATTATTTGACTGAGGACAGCTGTCACCTGTTAATTAAGATTAGACATACAATACCTCCATGCAGAACTTTTAAAAAAATAGGAAAAACAGTATTTAAAGAATGACATTTAATTCCAATTGCACAATTATTTGATTATTTAGTAAAAGAAACTAAAAATGATTTAAAAATGCGATTAACTGGACAGGGAGATGCTAGTGTTTAGACATGATTATTTGCTAGAGTCTGATGGGTGGAAGAGAAACTGGAACTCTTGCAGAGATTAATATAGTAGGACATCAGGTTACAGGTCTTTAGATGATTCAGGATGAAATATGAACAAGCATCCCAGGGGTTAGAAACCTGAACAATTTTTGAGGGGTAGACACTAAAAATATTGTAAAGTCCATAATTTAATTTTCTATAAAGTTTTACTGAAACATTTGAAATCTATTTGCCTTCTTCATGCTATCCTAAAGCTCAATTCAGAGCAAGGAAGATAGCATGATATATTATCTATCTAGCTCTTTTTTGAACTCTGTTCAGGTCCTAGTTTTCACCACATCTACTGGCAAGGAGTTCCACAGGTTGACTGGGCATTGAGTGAAGAAAAACTTCCTTTTGTTTGTTTTAAACCTGCTGCCTATTAATTTCATTTAGTGACCCCTAGTTCTTATATTGTGGGAATAAGTAACTCTTCTTTATTCATTTTTTCCACACTAGTCATGATTTTATAGACCTCTATCAAATCCGCCCCTTAGTCTCCTCTTTTCTAAATTGAAAAATCCAAGTCTTTTTAATCTCTCTTCTCTCCCTAATAATTTTGTTGCTCTTTTCTGAACCTTTTCCAGTGCCAATATATCATTTCTGAGATGAGGTGACCACATCTGTACGCAGTATTCAAGATGTGGGTGTACCATGATTTTATATAGAGGCAATAAGATATTTTTTGTCGTTTTCTCTATCACTTTTTTAATGATTCCTAACCTTCTATTTGCTTTTGTGACTGCCGCTGTACACTGAGTGGCTCTTTTCAGAGAACTATCCAAAATGACTCCAAGATCTCTCTCTTGAGTAGTTGTAGCTAAATTAGTCCCCATCATATTGTATATATAGTTGGGATTATGTTTTTCAATGTGCATTACTTTACATTTATCAACATTAAATTTCATTTGCCATTTTGTTGCCCAGTCACTTTGTTTGGTGAGATCTTTTTTAAAGCTCTTCACAGTTTGCTTTGATCTTAACTATCTTGAGCAGTTTCATATCATTTGCAAATTTTGCCACATCACTGTTTACTCCTTTCTCTAAATCATTTATAAATAAGTTGAATAGGATTGGTCCCAGGACAGAACCTTGGGAGACCCCCACTAGTTACCTCTCTCCACTCAGAAAACTTACCAGTTATTCCCACCCTTTGTTTTCTGTCTTTTTTAACCAGTTATCAGTCCATGAAAGGACATTCCGGGTACGTCTAGACTACATGCCTCTGTCGCCAGAAGCATGTAGATTAGGCTACCAGGCATAGGAAAATGAAGCGGCGATTTAAATAATAGCCGCTTCATTTAAATTTACATGGCTGCCACGCTGAGCTGATCAGCTGTTTGTCGGCTCAGCGCAGTAGTCTGGACGCACGGGTGTCGACATCAAAGGCATTTGTCGACCACCCAAGTATGCCTCCTGGTGAAAAGTTTCCATACATGACTTTTGAATAATTAAGTAATAAGTACAGCTGGTGTGGAGTTTTCCAAATAAATGTTTTTCGTTGAAAAATACTGATTTGTCAAAACTGATACTTTGTGGGAAAGGGCTGGTTTTAACAAATTTCCAAATTTGAATTTTTTAAATTTTAAAACTCAGTTTGAAATTGCCAAAATGTTCTGTTCTTAAACAAAATTTTATTTTTTGTTTAAAACAACTTTTTGTTTTGAAAAATTAATGTATAACCTCAAAAAAGAAAGATTCAAAAACAAAAGGTGAAATAAGAAAAAAAAGTTTTGGAATTATCAAAAGGAAACATTTCATTTTACCTGACTCCCTCCGCCCAAACTCCCCTCCCACATAACACTCCCTCCCCCATTCAGTTAATAAACAACACTAGGTTTATAATTTGTCTCAGTTTGGGGCAGGATACATTTCAATTGTTTTAAACCTTCGTGGGCTGGGAAAACCAGGCCCGCCTCCTTGCTCTAGTAATAAGATAGCTCGAGTTAATGGTTTTTCTATATGGACTGGATTTGATCTGGGGCCAGCACTCAAGTTATGTCATTAACTTTACATTGAGACCAAGGCTCTAGACTAGAGTCAGCTTGCCTTGCCTCAAGTGATAGATTCTTTTAGGCTATGCAGGGGCGGCCCGTGGTTACGTCATGGCCATTGACAGCCGTGCAGACGAGGGTGCCAATTGTGCCTTCCGCCTGGGGTGCCAGCTGCCGCAGCCAGCCTCGGGGCACTCCTGAGGCTATGTCTACACTGTAGGCTTCTTGCACAAGAATGGCCATTCTTGCCCAAAAACTTGAGGAGTGTCTACACTGCACATGTGTTATTGTGCAAGTAAATTTACAGTAAAGCATCAGAAGAGAAGGCTTTACGAGGAATAATCCCTCTTGCGCAAGAGTTCTTGCACAAGAAGGCAGTGTGGATGGGCAACAGGGGTTTCTTGTGCAAGAAACCTCTATGGCTAAAATGGCCATCAGAGCTTTCTTGCACAAGAGAACGTCCACACTGCCATGGACGCTCTTGTGCAAAAGCACATCTCTTGCGCAAAAGCACATGGCAGTGTGGACACACTTTTGCGCAAGAACTCTTGTGCAAATCAGTTCTTGAGCAAGAAGCCTGCAGTGTAGATGTAGCCTTAGAGCTGAAGGTCCTGGCTTTGAACCTATTTAACAGTGTGGATGTCTGGGGATATGTGACCTCGGGTTTAACAACAAAAAAAAAAACTTGTTTAGCCCTGATTAAAATTTAGAAATATAGTTTATTTTAAATCATTTTTTAAAAGCAAGGTTCTGTTTTTTCTCCATAGATAGTAAAGAACCAATTGCATTTTTTTTTTAAACAATGGTGATATTTCCAGGTGTGCTTGGATTACAGTTTTCCTCCTCATCTGTTGTGCACTGTGAAGTATACTAGTTAGGTGGTTCCCAACCCCTTTTTATTCCGTGGATCAGCAAACTCATTCAAAACCATTTGGCAGACCAGCACTGAAATATTTGCATATTATTATAGTAATTAATGTATTTGCATATTTGTGTATTTATTGTGGTAATTGATTTTAAGTGGTCACGTGTTATTTTACATTGTATCTGTATGCACACAATACATGTCATTGTGTGAATGGGAAGATCAGAATCTTACATTGTTAAACAGATGGTATGCTTTGCAGAATAATTCTGGTTTTCACTATTTTTTGGAGAGAGGCAAAGGGGTACAGCAGAAGAAGGGAGGGAAAGAAAAGGGGGACTAAGCCAGGGAGAGGCTGGTCTGAAAACAGCAGGGTGCTGACTCTGGCTCGGAGGGCTTCTCCCATCTTGTCCCTTCACCCCACCCCAGCTGCCCTGCTAGGAGGTCCCCGAGCCAATCCCCAGGGCTCAGTGCAGCCCAGCTTCCCCCAAAGCAGCCCCGCTCCGCCACACAGCCTAGCTGCCCCAAAGCAGCCCCTTTTGGCCATGTGAACTGGCTGCCCCAAGAGCAGCCCCACCTCCTGGAGCAGCCACCCACCACTCTGCCCCACCAGCTGGGCCGCATGGCTGCCACAGAGCTGGAACTGCAGCCATGATGAGACTACCTCAGTAGGGACAATCTCACCGTGGCCTGGCTCCAGACGTAGCCCATACGGTTGCCAGGTGTCCGGTTTTGAACCGGATAGTCCAGTGTTTGAGCTTTCTGTTTGGGAAACAAATTGAGAAAATATAAATGTCTGGTATTTTCTAAATAAGATGTAATGTAGATTGTGATGTAATGTCAAGTGTGTCCGGTATTTTTGTTGAAGCCATCTGGCAACCCTAGGCACATAGCTGGGAGCATGGCCTGGCAGAGTACTGCAGACCGGTGCTTGGGAACCTCTGTACTTGTTGGTTACCACATCCTCACCTTGGAGGATGCTGTATTTCATTGGTGCTTTGTGTATATGTATGCATATATATACTATAGACAAGCCTTCCAAAAGAATATTGTCTTCATTCTTATAAGATGTCCTTCCTGTTCTCAGTTTGGTGGAATTATTGTCACTTCAACCTCTGACACAGACCTACAGCTCTATAAATAAATTAATTCTGGATTCCAGAAAACATTTAAACCATGTCTGTAATAGAAAAAACAAGAGGTTAGGACTGTCCATGAACACATAATACATGTAAGCAAACCTTGCCTTGTCTGCACTAGGTGAAAAGTCCTGTTTTATATTGTATTTTTAAAATTGCATTTGCTAACATGATTTCAAATAAAACATATTTACGTAGTCTGGGAGGGTCTTCAATACTGTAAGAATGTTATGACTGAATAGTCTATATTTTCCCAAATCATGCCAAACAAAAGTGTATTTAACCAAGAACAAGTCCTGTTTGTTGTGTGAATGTTTATTAATGCCCACATAGCAAACATAATACAATAAAATTAAGTTTGTATGTATTTATTCACAAAAATATACATCCAACCCCTTGCTCTGTTTTTTTGATGCTATGACAAGTACAAAATTATGTGTTGACATAGAGATGACATAGGAAGGCACATCATTATAAATTAAGATAATTTATGTTGAGTTGGTACAAAAAGTGTTGGTTTTAATAAATTGATTTTCCTATTAAAAAAAGTGACAGTAAAAGAATCTGACCACAGACAGACATTTATTTTTCTGGATTAGTTATTCAAATCCAATAACGCTATCCAAGAATGCAGCAAACTCTTCCGGCTTTCCAGGAGGAAAGGGTTTCAGTCTTGACAAATCAATTGACTTCAATGACTCCAAAAGGGTGCTATAAAAACAGAGCAACAACAAAAGCGATATGAACAATTAAATACTTTACACAGGGGCAATGTTTCCTCTAATCTTTTCTACCCATGTGCAGATTTTTTCCATTCATGTATGGAATAAGTTTTTTCTATGTGCACTGATGCATGTGCAAATGTGCTCCACCAATAGAAACAAAAACCTATCAGTGAACACTCTGCTAATCAGTTATGTTTCATTTAATCTTCTCTTGAGTGTCTGCACAAGCACACCGCTTACAGGGAATGCTACAAAGGGGGTATTCTGTCTTTCACTGTTTCTAATTCTGCCTTAAATACATGACTCTCTTTGGCATTAGATCAGCAACAAGAGCACACCCTGGAAGGAAAAAAAGACACCATAGTATCATGAAATGTAAACTATTTCAGCACATGACCAATGGGTTTTCCTTTAAAAGTAGAGCCAGATTCAGAGGGCTTGTCCCAGGTCAAAAGCAACCCCACACTCTCTATTTTATCTGTCTGTCAGATCACTTCTCAAAATTCTTCCACTAAATATTTTCACTCAGTTATTTATTTGTCTCGTGATAGTAATTTTAAATTTACCAAAACATAAAAAATTACCATGATAACCCAAAATTCCCAAACACGAATCCTAAAAGAAATATAGCATGTATCCTAAAGCCTTCTCATTCTCCCTTCTTAATTTTTCCGGAATAATTTCCACTAAGGAAGGACAAGAATATTCACTGTTATTTGTGCGTATATTAAGTTTAAGATCTTTGAGGGGGAGCTCATATAATTTTATTCATAAAGAGAACCATGAACTATATAAGTAATAAGATAACTATTAAAATTAAGACACTTTTAAATGCATTTCACAATACCCAATCTGTATTCTGTTTTTACCCTCCTAAGGTCCCCCAACAGACAGCCACACAGAGTCTTGACTAGGTGTTAGAATTAAGTTGACAGCAGGAACAATGAATGTGCAAGACAAGAGAACTTATCAGATCTAAATGGTTATTCACTATCCTAATCAGAGAGAGAATTGTTGATCAACCCAAACTTTTGACAGTGTTTTAAGGTTGTACTTAACATGAAGATCTAAATACTTTCAAACAGAAGCTTCTGAAGAGACACTGCCTTTTGCTATCTTACAAGGTATGTTACTTAGATCTATAGACCAGTGCTGCTTTCTGCCGACTTCAGAGGATGTATTTGATTTTTCCTAACAGTTTGAATAACAATTCAAATTCCTTCACTTTTGCTCTGTTTACAGTGTTCATCATTTAATGTAGCGATGGGCAATCTAGGCTACTGAGTGGAGCACATGAGTGGCCCTCCTTCATCTCAGTGGGCTGCAAGATTGTTGTAACCAAGACGTTCTCCTAGGAAAGGGTAGCAGAGTGAACTGTAGCAACACTGATTGGATGCAGAAGAGGCGCAAGATTCACAATCAATGTTGTGTGCAATCATCAAGCACCTTGCTTTATGTACTTGTGACTTTAGTAATACTGATAGGGAAGAAAACCTGCATAGATGAAAACCACCAGAATCTGGCAAACCTGCTAACTAAGGATGTGAAAGACTAGTCCAAACGATAGTCGACTAGTTGCTTCCCCACCTTTGCTGCCTCTATCAGATAGAGGCGGGGGTGGGGGGAGGAGGGTACTTTCAAGCAATAGTGCCACATGGAGCCCAGGTTCAGCTGCTCCATGCAGCACTGCCACTTTGAATATCACGGGGATCCTGGTATAAGGTTTCTCATGTTGGCATTTCAAAGCGCAGCACCGCATGGAGCCCAGGATCAGCAGGGGAGTCCACTTTGGGCTAGTGCCACTTGGAAATGCCGCGTGAAGCCCAGGATCAGCTGGACTCCCTAGCTGGCCCCGGGCTCCACATGGCGTTGCCACTTTGAAATGCCGCAAGGAGCCCAGTGTTAGGCTCCTCACAGCATTTCAGTGCGACAGTGCCGTGCGGAGCTCGGGTTCAGTCCCCAGCTGACTCTGGGCTTCGACGCTTTCTCCTTTGAAGCATAGCAACAGCCTTAGGGGCTGTTGCTACACTTCAAAGGCGAAGACGCCCTATTGACTAATTGAATAGTCGATACAAAAATCATCGACTATTCCAATACCCCATACTTAACATCCTTACTGCTAACACTCAGCAAAACGTCTCATAGGCCACACATCACAGATATATGCCTGCAGGTTGCCCACCACTGATTTATTGGGAATCAAGTATTGCCTTCGAAAATGATAACCCTGGAACCAGATTTTCAAGAGTTTGGTGAATGCTGCACCAAGCATAACTCTAGTAATCTACCCTGGCAAAAATATGTGGCAGTGGTAGACTAGCCCTGGAGGGAGCTATGTCCAATCTAGTCACTATTTTAGGTATGTGAATGGGTAACCAGTTACCCCTTAAGCATCACCCTTAACAGTTAATTGGCACCTGGGAGCAGCCAACTTGGAGGGCTGCTCCAGCCCCGCCAGCCCCCGCATGGGATTGCCAGCACTCAGCCCATGCAGGGCAGGCAGAGTTCCCCACCCCCTGTCACCCCAGGCTGGAGTGACCCTCCTGCTGCTACTCTGGCCAGGTTGGAACAGCCCCTGCTTGTGGTGGGGGAAAAGGGGTTCCAGCCCCACCTCCCCTCAGTTAACCAGTAAAACACTATTAAATATGATTTACATCCCTAGTCTGTTTGAGGAAAAGTTACTGATTTTTGCCTTTGATGTAGTTGCAGAGAAGAGTTTGTTTTTGTTTTTCTAGTAAATCTGTGTGTTGTGACACTGTAACATACAATGGTGAACACCTTACACCTAGCACAATGGGGACCTAGTTCATGACTGGGGCTCCTAAACTCTGTCTGAATATTACCACTAATAATATTTGTTCAGACAAGATGGCTGCTGTCAATTTCTTCTAAGAAAACAAAGTGCGAACAGTGACTGTACTCTTAGATAGAGGCACAAATGATGTGAAAAGATCTGACGTACCTACACGTGCAATAGAAGAGGTGTCCATATTTGTAGAGTTGCCTGGCTAATTCTAGCTGATGATTGTTCATCAGCTTTTCATTTACAACCACCAGGAGTGGTTTTCCAATCATGTGCCTGCACCTACAGAAGAAATCAGTAACATGAACACTATTTACACATATGTATCCATGTTTCACCTTACACTCTCAGTAAAAAACAATTCACCCTGAACTGTTTCCTCCAGTCACACTCCCAGGCTACGTCTACACTGGCATGAATTTCCGAAAATGCTTTTAACGGAAAAGTTTTCCGTTAAAAGCATTTTTGGAAAAGCGCGTCTAGATTGGCAGGATGCTTTTCCGCAAAAGCACTTTTTGCGGAAAAGCGTCCGTGACCAATCTAGACGCGGTTTTCTGCAAAAAAGCCTCAATCGCCTTTTTCACGATCGGGGCTTTTTTGCGGAAAACAGTACTATGCTGCCTACACTGGCCCTTTTGCGCAAAAGTCTTTCGGAAAAAGACTTTTGCCCGAACGGGAGCAGCATAGTTTTTCCGGAAAAGCACTGATGATTTTCCGGAAAAACTTGCCAGTCTAGACACAGCCCCATTGTACTGTTTGAGCCCACTGACATTTGGTTTGAATGGATGCTTTGCTTAAAATTTTAAACTTAGGGACTAGCACAGATCCATAGGTTTAGTACAGAACCCCCACCTCTCCTCTCTCCGGGATTGTCTCTTCTCCCTGCGCTGTGCTGGATTCTCTGCATGATGCTGCCTTGATGCAAAGGATGTTGCCCAAGCCCGGGGCGGGAGCATGGCGGATTGCTCACTAGGACCCAGCAGCAGCAGGCAAGGGCTCTGGGAGTCGGGGCTGGGCTGGGCCCCTGCAGCACGAAGCAACTTGCAGCCACTGCTCAGGGTGAATCTGAGGCCAGGCTCCAGACCAGATCCCCGATTCCCAGCAGGAGGTTGCTGCTGGGCCCCCAGAGCCCAGTCTGTAGCCAGGAGGGGGAATCTCCAGCAGGGCCAGTCCTGCTGCTCCCCAGGAGCCTCTCCCAGGGCAGCGTCCCCCAGCCTGGCCAGCCCCTGTCTGGCCCAGCCTCTGCCCCAAGGCAGGCAGGCAA